AAATATAAGGTGGTAAATCCGTCGTAACAGCGCAAAGTTATGATTTTTCAAAAATGAAACGAGAGAGCTTTCGGTACGACCTAATATTTCCAACCATTTGCATGTCCATAAATTGTCAAATTAAAGGATCCTGCCTACTTAGAAATAGCACGTAAATGCTCGGAAATCTAAAAATGTTTGGCTATAGAAATTCCCAAGAAGCAGATCACAATTTTGGTTGTCGTTCGCCATATATCCAAATATAGGTGTTTAACAACCCAAATTATTCATCTGTGCACTTACTACGACTTGGAAATATATTAGGTCGTTCCATAAGTTCGTAGCGTTTTTACAAACCAACAAAATCATCAATTTACAGAAAAAAATCACTCAAAATTATATTCCTGGTTGTAGCGCACAACTTTTGGCACATTATTGTTAGCTTCTCAACCTCAATTTTTCAAATGGCAGTGCGCCGGGTCCCAAGAAAGTCATCTAACCAGCGCTCAAGTTGCTTACTGAAATCGAGACATGCACAATTCATGAGGTTTGCCAGAGAGCGGAGCAAATGATAATCTGGTAGAGCGAGGTTTGGAGAGTTTTTTGGGTACTGAAGTACCTTCCAGTCGAATCGTGCAGGAGAGTTTTGACAACGTTTGCCGTATGAGGCCATGTTTCGTCATGCAGAAAAACTCACCGGATTTGTCTGTTAGGCTTTTTCTGCGGTAGGACCTGGTTTAAGCCGTGCAGTTGGATTGCTTATGATGTGGTTGACCGTCGCCTACTTGTCCAGCAATTTTCAGTGCAGGACGTTCTGCCCGTCCCCCGAAAAGTCTTGTTCAGGGACATCCTGCTCAGCTCCTGCTCTTTTGTATCAATCCAATTCTCTTTTGTCTTATATTGATAAACAAACGTCACGTTACATAATCGAGACAAAAATCTGTGCAAAAACGCTTCTTTTCATAACGAAAAGGGCGCAAATGCCGAAATTGCTCCTTTTTGCCCTTCAAAAATTCCATCTTTGGCAGCTGCGAGATCCGAGTGAATCAGCTTTCCACCGAAATCAGTAGATGTATTTCAAAGAGCACAATCAGCCCTTCCAAACGATAAATGCATTCCGCCGCAAATCAACCGCCCCTCAAAGATATGAGTACGAAAATAAAAACGCTACGAACTCATGGAACGACCTAATAATAGAACTTGGAAATTCAAAACAGTAATTTTTGAGTTCAAAAAATGAGGTCATGAATGTATTCTTGTCACAATACAAATATCTATATGATGAGTACTGATATGTAGTAAAGATTTGGCTACCCACTCACAAAATTCGTACCTGTATAACAGTTACTCAAACGAGCTTGTGCGAGGCGCATGTCAAAACGAAATATTTATGAGCCATCCTAATAATTACTTTCTAATAGCTTAGGCAAACGAGCAGTACTCAACCTATCGCTGTCTCATCAAGACGGGAATTTACCGTAATTTGCATCGCAAGCGTTTTTGATCGGCTTCTTACAGTAACATGGGTCCTCACTTGCTCCGTAGATCATTAAACTGACAAAAATTATCAACGTAATCATGCAAGCTGTGTGTTTTAAGGGATTTTTAGGCAGTCGAATGGGGGAAGGGGGAAGAAGCAGTATTGATTCATTTAATATGTTTCATTTACTCGTACTTTTCACACGTGCACACGTCATTTACAAAACTCGATTCGAGAAACTGCATAGGATTCGGAATGAAACCAATTTTGAATGTTCTGTGGTCGCATTTACAGCAATTCGTAGCAGCATTCTGAAGCTTTACACTTCTTTGTGCTACTCCAGTAATGGCATATTACCAGTGAACAGCACTACTCTTTTATTATAGTGGCATGAAAGCCAACAGAAAATTTATTTCAAGCCATTCAATGTTTCAGAGCTGGCTATTTCGCGGACACAGGTTTCAACCCCTTTTCTTTTCATTAGATTTTGCAAAGTCATACCCGGACTGAGATTTGTCAAGGAAAGAAGAAGAATTCTGTTAATGAGGAAGGGATATCAATTTGAGTTGGCAATTAAAGACTAGATATACTTCACTAGACGAGTTTTCAAACTAATTCCGAGTGTGCATTTCTTTTTTGCAAAACAACTATCTGAAAAAAGTTACGAGTGTTCGAACGTTCAAATTGAGTGGCTTAAGCGACATAAGATTGACGAGAAGCTATAAAAAACCACCTAACCTTTGACTCCCTGTCTTGGTTGTTGAAAGGTGGGACTTTGTGACCTACTAAGGCCGGTCGCGCCCGCTACGCAGTCTGCCGCGCGCGCGCTCTCAGATCATTACTTATTTTCAATTAGGTCGCGATGCCCCGCCTTCCATGCGCCAAGCCAGTTGAATCAAGTGGTATAAGGGTGTTGTGGCTCGGTGGGCTCTGCGCCCCTTCGCCTAGCGCTCGACTGTTTTGCGCCGAGCTGCTGTCGCAGAAGGACTTCCGCCACTGCGGGTGCGCACCAGCTCACAATGACGCGTTACGCCTGCACCGCACGTGAAACAATAAACATACATAAACTTACTAAATAAATACGCGAAAACTACGCGACATAATAAATATAAATGTACTCACCAGGGGAGAGTTAAGCTCTACCCCGGGCTACCGATGGGGACTTATTTTGCTCACACTCACAACTCTCGCGGCATCCAAAGGAGCTACCCACAGGCCGATCGTGCGCCGCCAAGGCAGCAGCTACAGCACGAACACCGACCCCATGATGTTGACCAGCAGCATCGAACCAAGCTCCCAACGAATCCTGCTCGAACCAAGGCGCTTCGTGATGTTCATCATCCTGGAATTCTGTGCTCGCGCGTATATCCCAACAATTCATCAATGATCCATCCAATCGCGCGAGGCACGGGGACGTAGACAGGCGATATTGACCCAACCAATCAATAACAAAGGCGGCACGACGATAGTAGTAAGATGAGAAGACGAGAGAGACCGCACTGGCGCGCGTACGCGCTATTTATAGCCGTGGAGGGGGCGTGCCTACGTGGTGGTCCGGAAGCGAACAAGGTAACCATCGTAAAGCGCAGCGACCGTGCTCACCACAGAAGTGCGCGGCAACACGGTGCTCCCGGCCACATGCTGTGAGGAGCGGTATCGCGTGCCGCGACAAAGGGAGTAATCATTTTTGAATGAATCAGAGTGACTACAAAGAAGGAGCACAGCCAGTGAAAATTGCACGGGCTTTGAAGAGATATTCTTTGATTTAAGCTATTTGAAGCATGAGAAATTTGGATTTTAAACACCGAACTTTTTTTGGCAAATTCTTCTGCAAGAAAGGAAAGCAGATTTGGAAAGACATATCTAGTGGTTTACATCTCGTCTCGCTAGCTCAAATTGGGACTCATCTTTTGTGAGAAGTTGAAGCAATATCAGGAGAAAAGAAATAGCACATGCACACTAGCTCTGTTTGATACTTGAATTTTGTATCAATATGAGGTTGCGCGAAATTAGGAGAATTTTTTGAACGATGGCAATGACTGAATCGCAAAAAAATGGTGCGGATTGTGTTGGAAATGAAAAGGAAACTCCAATGCACGAATATTGGGAGCTTTTTAGTGTATCAAACAAAAAAAATTACATAGAGGTAATTCATGTGATTATTCTGTTCCAATCAAAATGTCAAATGGTGAAATCTTGACAGGTTTCCCATCATTCACATTGCGAGAGCATAGGATACAGCGGCTATTCTTATGTGGTATTGTAACTGCTGTGAACAAGTTCTGTTTTCTGATCCTCCCCCAGGCAAAATAAATGTCCTTTCTTTCAGCTTCGTCAATCAATAATGTCTCTATAGGTCATATACGCGAGCATAGTAGTTGCGTAGGATGCATACGAAAATGTACAAATTTTCGAGAATTTCGCGAAACTACCGAAATTCTCTCACTGGCTCTAAAATAAGATAGACACATGCAATCAACATCCTTGCAATATTTGTAGGGCTAAAAGGGTGTTCACATTTGAGCTTTTTTCGCAGTGAATGGAGATTTATATTCCTCTTATTCTGGCCAATTTTGAAGTATCTATCAAGTTGGCGCTAAAGTTTTTGTGTGGTGCGAATTTAATAGTCACGGTTGATTTTAGAAGAAGAACCTTTGTGCTTCATAAGAGCACTTCTGTATTTCTTCTGCTAGGCCAGCTTTGAAGAACGAACTTTTGAGAAACGACCAGTGCAATTTTGTGATTTTAAATTTGTGAACAATACTAAAATCTATAGCGACTTACATGGTAGTAGTCATAAATGAGGCAACCTTTGCTCATGCGCAAATGCAAAAACACAATCTTCAATATTGCATTTTCTTCTCAAAAAGATCATTTTGTACGCTCAGCTAAGATAGTGTGACGTTTATTTTGGGTTGGTCAATGAAGCGCATCTTACCCCAGAAAATGGATTTTTTATAAATTTTGTTTGCTTCAGTTAAGGCAGCCACAGTCATATATAGATATTGCTGTATAGAAATCACGGATTTGAGGACAGCTAGCGTCTGTCTGGTTGATATCGAAACCAAACTCAAAATCACAAAAATCAGAAGTGCTGTTCTTGGAAATCTGTTCCTTAAAACAACTGAAGAAAAGTTGCGACTGATTCATATTTGTAAAGAGCGAATGTCTAATTTTCAATGTAAGTCTTGGATGCAGTTTAAGAATTAAAAATTACTGAAATTTACTAAAATTACGCAAGGAACATAATATTATTGACGTCTATGTATACGTTCCCTTCTCCAAAAGCAAAATGCTTGTACGTAACATAGCGCAGCAACATTATACTTTGTGCGAGTTTATCATGGTTAATCTCAAAATCATATCCTTTTACAAACTTTCTTCGTTCAATACATATACAGTTGAGCGTACTGCCTTCGACTTTGAAGAATGCTGTTTTAGGAACAATTTTGCAAAGGAATATCTTTTCTGTAATCCCTACTTATGCCAGAATGTCTGTATTATCTGAGATTTACACTTTCAACTGAATGCTTTAATTCAAGCTTCATAGCTTTATCAAAACAGTTTATGTCGAGAAGCCTCATAAGCTTTTTCACCCCAGTATACAACGGCTTTGCACATGAGCGTGGTAGGGCATAAATTAGGAGTTGAGAGATATTTGTCTTCCAGCTCATCTAGCCTATCACAAAATCTAAAGTTCTTGATAAAAATGCAGAAGGTGCCTACAAAACTCAACTTACACCCTATCGCAATAGGTTCTTCCTCTCTGTTTCTCATAACATCGATCATGCTTCTTGCATGCTTTATTTATCTTATCTAAAATTATGAGATAGTGTAAAAAGAAACTTCGAATAATGATTATATAAGAAGCATGCTGATCACTGATGTTTAAAAGTTTGAAACTGCCATTCTATCACACATTTGATGATACTCCAAAACTTTGGCATTTTGCAAATCAAGGTACATCAAGTTGTTTTTCAAGAAACAAAATGATCAGATATTATTATTTAAGAAAATATTACCGTATCAAACAAAGTTTTATTGCAGTTTGCATGCAAAAAGGTTCAAAATCTATTTTACAATATGAAACAAGTATCAATTTCGACAAAATGTCAAATTATTCCACCTAAGTTAAGTCTCAACTGAATCTGATCTATCCTAATCTAACACCGTATATGTCCCACAGTAGTTCCCTTACCGGCGATGGCGACATTTTACAGAACATTGGCTGCGTTTGTAGCTTGCAACAAGCTCGAGAAGGAAAGAGCTGAGGAAGTAGATGCAAAACTTTTCAACTTGAACATTTAAAATTTTCCCATTCAACATCAATGACACACGCAGGCCAAGTCCGAAATAACCTGCTCTATGTAAAGCATGACGTAGCTTCCTTTCTCAAACACTTTTTTTTGCCTAGATAAGGTATTCTACATTTCCAAACATTCGAAGATACAATTTTTTTTGAGCACTTAAGTAAAATTTCCTTCGCCCAGTTTCCATTTTCAGAAAAAAATAAAAGGCATGTTGTTATTCAATAATCATTAAAAATACGTACACGACGGAGTAAAGATCAATGCAAAAAAAGAAGCCGATTCGATGTTAAAGGCAGTGTCTGGGCAAAAAGTCGATTTTGACGTTTTGTGCTTACCCGGTCCTATTCGCTATGCTAAATCCGATCCACATTAGAAAGCGCGAAAACGGCGAAAAAGAACTTTAGCGCAGGAGGGAAATCAGAAGTGGGCGGGGTCTTCCCCACTGCGGATTCACGCTCCAATCTCCTGGAGCGATCTTCTCGGTCCCGATTTCAAGTCATGCGCTTGCACCTGGTCTGTGGAGATCCCAGAGAGCTAGCGGAGTTGAGGAAATTGCTTCAGAAGCCGGGACCACGAAATTCACAGTGAGGAAGACCCCGTCCACTTCTGATTTCACTCCTGCGTTAGAGCCCTTTTTCGCCATTTTCGCGCTCTCCAATGCGCATTTTCTGATTCAGCGTAGCGAATAGGCCCGAGTAAGCACAAAATCTCAAAATCGAGTTTTTGCCCGGACACTGCCTCTAAGCAAACCTAAACATTTCTAAAAAAAGGGTGGTCCAGTGGTAAGTCCGCGATAAGAAACGCGGCTTTGAGTACAAGAATTTATCCTAATGGCGCAAAAGTAACAGGAATAAAAACGATAACAACGGGTTTAGCTTCTGAACTCGCGAAAATTCTGAGGAGCATAACAAAAAATCTTTCCGAGTGCGTGGCTAACGCCACGCACCTTCATAGAAAAATTTTTTTTGTCGCCCCCCCCCCCTCCACACCCCGAGCCGAAATCCTGGGTACCACTAGGATATAGCTATGTAGAACCACGGGCGCTAACCCGATTTGCCCTCTCAGCAGGGTTCTCTAGCTCTTGTCTATTAAAGAAGGGAAGTCCGCTTCGCGACGGCTTTTTTAACTCCCGAGAGCATTCAATTTCCGCTCTGGCTGGTCCAACTGTCTAGCACTATTTATGGCCTGCAAGGTCGAACGGCCTCTCTTTTACCTCCACTAAAGACTGATATATCGGTGATCCGCGCCATCCAACACATTATCTTTTCCAGATCCTCTTAAAATTTATTTGCTTCAAGAAGCATGTTTCATGGGACTTACAGGCTTCAAAGAATACATCAAACATCTGCTTCTAAAAAGCCTTCTGTGTGGAATACTGCTAAGTGCAAACTTCATAATTGAGGTTAGCGTTCTGGTTGATTTAGGTCAGGAGTTTTCAGGTCGTTTGCTTTGTCTTTCAAGCTAATATATCGTCCTGTGAAGCTTAAAATCGCCTTTAAGGTGCTAGCAAGTCCTACAGTAATGAGGAGCAATTCAATTTCCGCTTCATTCTGGAAGCTTCAGTTGAAGCCATTTTCACAGTACGGTTTTGAATAGAGAGTATTCACGTTTTTTTTTTCATACAAGAAAGTTTAAAAAACCAAACGTTTGATACTTTATTTTGGGGCGCGTTGTATACTTGTATATGGAAGAAAGGCAGATTTACAACTATTTTAGCCTACTAAATTATTCAGTAGGCACATTTACAATGTTTTATCGCTTGTGAATTCATGATATAAAGTGCGGTTCATAATTATACAAACACCTTATATTCTAAAAGTTTTTGAACTTTTTGGAAGAAACTCAAAAAGCCGTTGGTACCATGCGATAGAGCACAGCCGAAAACGGTATATGATCCATAAGAATGGAAATCGATGTCAATCTTAGGAGTGTTTTTGCGCCTAATGCGAATTTTCAGCGGTTCATAATTGTACGAACACCTCAAACAAAGGTCCATTTTTCATTCAAGATTGCAATCTTTCGAGTCCAAATTTTTTGTAGAGTTACAGTAACAAAATCTGAAACATCCGCTACACACTGAACTCAGTGCAGTTCAAAAAGAGGATCTTTACTTTTTTCAGATGGCTCTAAATGCTTTTGTAGTAATTGCGCTCCAAAAACATTTGTTCTTCTGTAGTTCACGCACTCTAATTAGCTTCCACTAAAGCTATGAGATAAAATAAGCTTCTTTGATTGGTATTTTGTTTGACGCTTGGAAAATCTATGCGTTTTCGTGCCGCTTTTCAACCAAGTTCCAACCTCATTCCAAAGTTAGCACGATTTCGAGCCTCAAAACGCAGCTTTTCTCCCGCGCAAACACTTGATATGAAGCAGCTGCATTGTTTGCATGATGATGTATCCATGTCAAAGCTTTTGGGTTTTTTGTAGAACTGATCTTGAGGCTATGTAGCTACAAACCAAATAACGGTGTGACAGCAATAGTAAAAACAGTGGTTTTGGGGAAATGACGTCTGCGTGGCCGAAACAAATGCTCAACGCTGCTGATTCTTTCTAGCTAAATACACTGTCTTGTGAACTTCTACATACTATAAGCTTACTTCATTGTACGGCTTCAGAAGCTGAGTTTTGATTTTAGCACGATTTCGAGGGCTCGAAATCGTGCTAACTTTAGGGTAACGTTGGAACTTGGTTGAAAAACGGCAGGAAAACGCAACGATTTTCCAAGCGTCAAACAAAATACCTATCCAAAAAGCTTATTTTATCTCATAGTCTTGGTAGAATCTAATTAGAGTGCGTGAACTACAGAAGAATGAATGTTTTTGGAGCGCAATCACTCCAAAAGCATTTAGAGCCATCTAAAAAAGTAAAGATCCTCTTTTTGAACTGCATTGGGTTCAGTGTGCAGCGGATGGTTCAGACTTTGTTACTGTAACTCTACAAAAAATTTGGACTCGAAAGATTGCACTCGCAAATGAAAAATGGACCTTTGTTTGAGGTGTTCGTATAATTATGAACCGCTCAAAATTCGCATTAGACGCAAAAACATTCCTAAGATTGACATCGATTTCCATTCTTATAGATCATATACCGTTTTCGGCTGTGCTCTATCGCATGGTACCAACGGCTTTTTGAGTTTCTTCCAAAAAGTTCAAAAACTTTTAGAATATAAGGTGTTCGTATAATTATGAAAAGCACTTTATATCTACTCACCCTTGATTTTCGCACACCACCACTCAGCAACAAATTTCGATACTGTTATCGAGATTTTATACGTCTTAGAACCACAATGCCAAGTCATTTCATTCATAGCTGATGCTGCGTATACTGGTGTCTAAGAGAGACAATTTCTAACACTACACTTTCTTAATGGTTGACATATGCTTCACACCTGAATTACTGGAATTGTATTTCTGACCCATTCTATCACATCCTCAGGAAAATTAGCCTGAATAAGCAACATTATAACTGCTGCACCAGTTGTCCCCCGATTTCCGAAATTACGAGAAAAGAACAGCTAAAACATGTTTCTGCTGAAACTCGTTAGATGCCACTTACTTCCAATTTATGTATTTGAAGCGCAATAAAATACAATAACACAGTTGCATATCGCATGATGTTCATGCGTACGGTGTACGACGCTATCCGGTTAAGAAATGAACAGTACCATTTCTTGACTCCCGAAAACAGTGCTTATCATCTGTCTTCACTTTATACAATGATTATTCTTTTCATGACGAAGGCAAGCGGCAGGTCCTCACAGCTCGGCCTTTTAATGCCTAACAGTACTGTTAGGCATTGAAATGACTGTATAAGGGTATAACTGCAGACTATTACACTGTATAACTGTACTCAACTGAAGTGCCCAACACGTGCTGTCTGAAGTCGCTTTCAAAGCGAAAACTCGCCTCGAAAATCTTCTAAAAGACGGAATCGCCACGTTGGCTCATCCCTATTGAGTGGGTCTGACGTTCGTCTTGCCCACTAGTGATTTCGCCTAGCAGGCGCAAAGGTCAAGAAATCGATCAGATTATGCGAGAGTGACAAGTTACACAGCGTTCCTCGCGTCTATGCGCTGCGATGGCCCCGCTGCTGGCCCGCGGCTGACCGGCAGGCGCAAGGAGTGCTCGTCTACTGCGGATTCTGAAGGGCATTCAAACTCAATAATTCAAGTTTGTTCAATTTTAGGCATGGATTCGGACTCAGCGTGCGCAAGAGGTGCCAAAAGAGACAAAAACTCGAAATCGAGGATTTGGAGGACGCTGCCTTCAAAGACCAGGCATGGGTGTATGCCCTTCTGCACCGCTCTGTCCTAGCGCTAATTACTCTCCTCCGAGGCAGCGCCAGCACTCCGCCTTAATTGTAATCTGGCAGAATTTTTAAATGTTTTCCGAGTTTTCCAAAGCAAGGGAGAGACTCTCAATAACGATGAAGTAAAAAATTCCAGAGGTTAAATTATACTTGCCATTCCGTATTTTCCTCGCGCTTTTCAGTTCTTCAAACCACTGCATGGCTTGTAGAAATTACCCAATCCACTCATGTGTAACATTTCCTAACAATACAAACTCGAGATCATTTCTGATTTTTCTTTTAGAGTACTTTTGCGTACTTCCCGTTGACCGCGGCAGCGCCGACCAGTGAGAGGCGCGCAATAATCAGACTGCTAAGGCAGCGGTGTAGAGGCCGTCTCTGGCCGGGCATACATCACGCGAATACATCTCCTTGCGATTCTCATGGCAAGGCAACTGTGACAAGTTTATTGCACGCCGCATTTCTCATTCCGGTTGCGATAGTTTTCCGACACTCTAATATTGACTAACTATCGCGACCGAAATACAAGATGATCAATATGCAATGGAATCGTAACTGTTGTCTTGTTTTGAGAATCGCAAGGCGATAAAATCGGTGAACCTGCTTAAGGGCTTAGGGCTCGGACAGATTTCACGCGATTTGTTCGTCGCGATTCAGTCGCTACAAGACATCTGTTACGAGTTCATTGCATGCCGATCAGCTTGCATTTCTGTTGTGATACCTTTCCAGCTCGAAATTTTCAAATGTGATGTGAAAATGAATAGAAAACACGGCGACTGAATCGCGACGATTAAATCGCGTGAACTCTGCCCGAGGCCTAACAGTTGTCTTGTCGCGACTTAATCGCGACGATCAAATCGCGTGAACTCTGCCCGAGGCCTAACAGTTGTCTTGTCGCGACTTAATCGCGACGATCAAATCGCGTGAACTCTGCCCGAGGCCTTACGGGTAACTCAAATGTAAAATGAGTTTATGAAGATAGCGTGGAAAAGATGTTGGGAAATAGTTATAACTTGTTGAGCAGCTTCAAGGAATACCGACTGATATACACTGCAATGCAGCCGCAGCGAGTGCGAACGTCCCTTGTTGTCGACTCGCAGGTTTGTGCTCAGTGCACAGGGAAATAGTGCGACGAATTCTCCTTCAATGCACTCAAAGTAAGAAAACTTAGAGCCAATAAAGGCGACCTCGAAGTACCAAATTGTTTCGAAGGTTTTCTAAAAGGAAATTTGCACATCAAGAGCAGCTTGATCTTCGTTGTGTCCTCAATGTATAAAATTAATTCCATTTGGTCGTTTTGTATTCCCGGCGTTTCCGTTGTTCTGTTCATCAGAGCAAGACAACTCAAACATGGAAAAAATGTTGCGATATTTCTCCAAAAAAGGCCAAGATTTTCTCGAAATGTGCTCCCATCCCCTGCAGGAATGTTAGCGCATGCGACCCTTAAAGCCAGCGTCCAGGCAAATCTGGACCTAAGTTGCTCTCACGTGGAAATTAATCTTGAGACCCCAAATAAGATAAGACTCCGCCCAAGCGGTAGTTCAGATAGTGCACTTACGGCTAAGATATTGGGCTTCAAACTATGCCCTGTAACCGTATTCGGATGGATTCGTGGCGCTTTCGCGCGAGGATCCATGCGAATGATGTGCCAAGCCATGAATTCATGCAAATGCGGTCACGGAGCATAGTTTAGAGCCCAATACCTTAGCCGTGAGTGCACTATCTAAACTGACGCTTGGGCAAAGTCTTATTTAGGGTTTCAAGATTACTTTCCACGTGAGAGCCCCATAAGTCCAGATTTGCCTGACGTTCCCTTCAAAGGCATTGTCCAGGTCACTGAGGGATGGTGGAATTTTGACGTTGCGGGGTTTCGGCTTCTCGGCTCATTGATGCAACATATCAAGTCTGATCGAAAAAGAGTCACACACTTATATACAGCGTCCCAAAAATATGTATACACTGTTTGGTCATTGGTATCTCTTTTCCCAAAGTCTTTCGGCCACCTTTAGGTACCACTATGTATAGCTGGCTTCAACTTAGATCTACAGTATAAAGCGAAACACCTATTGTTCATTATTACTGTGCAATTACGGTATGAACTTCTGGTTTACAGCGTCCCTGTGGACCAACCGTGTTTCAAAAAGAAGTTTTAAAAAATTCCGAAAAGTGGTATATCAGGGATACTACGTGACCTGATTTCATTACGCAACTGTTCAGGAGTTTGTAAAGTTTTTTGATGGGTGTAACAACAATTTTAGGGAGCATCATGAAGACCGCTATAACGGTTTACCTGCCATAAGTTATGGAGGAAGCATCGCGGCAAAATGCAGAGTTTGTATTTTGGTTTTAGCGACTAATTAGCCTAGTGTAAGAGTTTCCAGGTTGTTTGTTTGCTTTCTGAGGCGAAACAGGACCGTCAATGACTCAAAACGCTTCTTGAAGTTCCTACCGTAATTCTAAAGTAATGAAGAAAGATCGAGGATTTGCTCCATACGATAGGTGGTTAAACGATAGGTGGTTCGCTTTAGGCCCCGGGCATACTTCACGCGATTTGATCGTTGCGACTGAATCGCGAGGAGACAACTGTTACAGCATCATTCCATGCAGATCAACTTGCATTCGGTTGTGATATAATACTTTTCCAGACCGAAATTTTTGAATGTGAAATGAAAATGAATGAAAATCTTGGCGATTTGGTCGCGACGATTAAGTCGCGTGAAGTCTGACCGGGGCCTTACACTGCAGATCTTATATGAGGCCAGCTCTACAACATGGTACCCGAACGTTGGCAGAAGACTTCAAAAGAAGAGAGATATTAACGACCAAACAGTGTATACCTACTTTTGGGACACCCTGTATAACGATAATTTTCGCCTCTTTTCTACAATCACTTCTCTCTTCATTCCACTCTCCATCTCCTAAAGACGTTGCGCTCATCACTATACCGATCCTATTCTTGCAAAATCGCATTTCCTTTTCCAATACGCTCTTCGTACAAGCGCAAAAATTCCGTGCCCTCCCCCCCCCCCACCACCAAAAAACAAAAACAAAACAAATTCTTGTTTTACGGTGATGAGGGAATGACATGACATAGATATGCTGCGCAGAGCTTAGAAAATTAGAATGGACAAGTTATGAAAAAGTTACCTTCTGCACAGCTACCTAAGCTTGCCACACATAATTTTTTTACGCTTTTTGCATGACTTCAACCTTTGCATGACTTCAACCCTATCGGTTGGCAGCCAATCGAGATGAGCTTCTACAGGAACAACACGAGTGAGTGACTTTTGGGGAAGGAGGGATGCTCGCTGTTGTTGCCCTAGGCTGGTTTTCGTTTTCGGCAGCGGTGATTGGATGTTTGCGCACGGAGGGGCGGGCATTACTGGAAGAGGCGGTGCCGATCTGGACTCCTCGTGCCTCTTCGACATTCCGAAATGATTTTCTCGCTTTCGAAGCGACATTTTGCGCCGCGACTTGAACATTGGTTTGGTAGGGGGTCCTAGTATCGTAAGCTGTCGAAAGCTCCGCCCCCTACCTTAGGGTGGACAGTGCCTTTGAGAGGCAGGAAATAGAAGAAATCTCCCAACTATAGATGCTATTGCACTCTTGAGATTCTTTTAAACGGACGAAAAATGGGCAAAAGTGAAGCAAGTCCCACGTATAGTTGTCGTCAGTGGAAATGCCATTGTAAGCGAATAAAGCTGGGAGAAGGGACAAACATACATGACATTCCAGTCAAACGTGGTAAAAAGGTCTACTAAATGGAAATGTAAGGCTTTCATGGCAGCCGAAGACAGGAAAGCATACCTGACGGAATCCGACGATCATGAAATTGAACAACCCCAAAAATTCCCAAATGTAGCAACTTAACTGATAAGAATGCACAAGAGACTTACAGCCGTTCAAAGGAGAATCCATGACGTGAATGCCTCTTTCATAAAATGCTTTGAAAAACTAAAGGACCCGCGCAAGCGCACACACCGGTGTCTCGCAGCGGTCTTCAAAGGACCATTGAATGCTTAAAAGTCTTCTCTGCAAAAAATGCAAATTTCCTCCTTACGGTTCTTTTACATGTAATGATTCAGTAAGAATGTTTTCGTGGCAATCTATTGAACGAAGTTCCGAGTTTTCGAAGAAATTTTCAAAGCTTTTCCGAAGCATGAATTTCTATAGTTTTTTTTGGACTTCGCGTGGATAGGTGGTGCAAGCCTTTAACACTGCTTAGTTGAGATAGCTTTGCTTCATCGAAACATACGGAACTTATACGGGAGGGATAGAAGTTGCGCCTTATATTATTTTCGTGCAAGACTTATGTTTGAGCTAATAT